GAGCCTGGAGAGACTAGCAAGGGGGACAGAGGCAGAAGAATGTAGGGGAAGAATGTAGGAGCAGATGGGTGGAGAGATGAGAGACATGGCTTCTAGAGAGAGCGCGGAGAGATGAGCGGGAGAGACAGGAGGAGTCGGGAATGAGGGGCAGTGTGAGACTAGAATGGGGAATTTAGTGAGATTGGAGCAGGCGTGTGAAGAGAATGGAATAAACAGCCACTGATCACCAACCAGCCTAGCCCTCGCTTCCTCCTTCATCTGCCCATGGCATCCTCCGTCCCGGGTGGAGGAAGCGGCTCCAGACCACCAAACTTGGGCTGAGAGGGAGAGCTGCTGGCTCTCCCTAGCCGCCTGGAGATTACACAAAGAGAGAATGAGTGCTTGTTGTGAACCTAATGGAATAAAGGAAGTGTGTAGACAAAGGAAATACTGAGACAAAGGGAGACACCTGGAGGGCTCATCACAGTTGAGGCAGTGGAGTCTGGTTTCATCCCACCGCTAAGAGCTCTTGTAGTATGGGAAATGTTGTGCCCGCTTTTAAAAAGATGGTTTGCAATCTAAAGTCCACAGTGTAGACTTCTGGAAGGAAAATCACAAGTTATTTACAAATGCCTTGTAATCACAACATTTGTTACTTTAGCACACATAGGAATTCCCAGGAGGACTTCAGATTCCCAAACCTTCTCGAATATCTGTTTCTAACTGAGTTCTAATCCTGTAATTCATAAAGGAAGCTTGCCGCCAACAGTTCTGTAGTGACTTCACAGGACCTGTAATTCCCAGTGGGTGCCGGTGGGTACAGGCCTTGAGAAATCCTGCTTGAGTCCAAGTTCCTGAAGGGCAAGACTATAGCTTAGGTAGCTCTGTATCCTTGTACCTAGAACAGAGTCAAGTGTGTATCCAGTGAATGTGGAGACGAATTTACAATGACTAGTGAAATGCGGACATCTCAGGCTGCTTGAGAATATGAAAATATAATTCTAGACATAGTGAAGATGTTTGCTTCCAGGCTTTTGAAGTGCCAAGTGTTGACTTTGATTTCCAGGGTCTATATTTCCAGTGTGTAGGAGAAAACAGCGTGGCGTATATGCTTACATTGGTGTGCAGTGGAATCCTTACTTATGCTTTATTAGTGAAGTCAGAGCATGCAATTCTCTATGAAAGAGCATCCGTACCTTCCTCCATCCACAGCTGACACTGGAGATTAGATTCAAGCTCTAAGCTTTTAAGGACCCTTTGAGGGAGACCCTTAATGAGAAATTGATTCTTTTAGATTCAAGTCTAATTACTTTTACAGCAATATTTCTATTTGGGAATGCTTCCCATGAATGATGTCTCTATGCCAAGGATTCCACATGGACCTCTTCAACTTCAGGAAAAAGAATAACCAATGTGTAGCCTGAGGTTGGACCCCAATGAGAAAATCAGTAATTCTTTTTCTGCTTGAGCTTCTGGCTTTACTTCAATGGCCACCTTAGAGAAAGACCTTAGATGCAATGTTTACAAATCCTTGAGAAATGTTGTAGTGTTTTCTCCATGACTTAGTCACCTGCTTCTTCTACTGGTGAGAGTGATAAGCAGTCAGAGACCTAGAATCCTCCTGCAGAGTCACCCATAGCATCAAAGCAAACTGGGAGGGTTATGGTGGTCATTTTTGTTTTATCACCTACACAAAGCAGTTTCAATGGAAGCTATGTGACACCCCTGTGACAATTGCATTTGCACAAACTGGCCATGGGGACAAAACTCTAAGAAGATACCATTTTCTCATTATCATAGCCTTAAAAAAAGAAAGAAACTAAAAGCATCCCATGTGAGTACAGGAGAAATTAGGTCTTTATTTGTCTCCACTAATACCCATGTCAACATAATTTTAGTTTCAGTTAGGTCATTTTTTGGCCATTGCAGATAGTATATTTATGATCAGGAATAGCCAGGAGATTTGGGAGGGTACCAAATAAGGAATTAAGTATTTACTAATTTACCTGAAGCTTCATATTTTTTTATTAAATTTATTGAATCACCGTGAGATAGTTATAAGCTTTCATGTTTGGGTTACAATCACACAATGATCAAACACCCATCCCTCCACCAGTGCACATTCCCCACCACCAATATCCCGCTATAACCCCCATTTCCCACCCTCTCCCTGCCTCCGTGGCAGATATGATTCCCCATAATCTCTCTCTACTTTTGGGCATTTTTTTTTGCAATACAGACCCTGAGAGGTTATTATGTTTGGTCTTTTATCTACTTTCTGCACACATCTCCCATCCCGACCGATTTAAAAAGCCTCCATGACTGGAAAGCTCCATGACTTTTATGAATGCATGTTAGAAAATAATAAATAATGGCATCTGCTCTGCAATTCAGTGTGGGCGAGAGAACAGAAGACTGCAGCGTGTGTGTGGTGTCTTGGGGCAGGTGTGACAGGAAGCATTCCGTATTGCATTGCAGGAAAGTGCATTTTGAACATGTCCCTGGGGTTGGCAAGAAGTGTTGCCAGCTTTTGACTGGGAGTATACCCACTCTTTGATTGGGTTGTGGAGAACACACGGTCAGAACCCTCCCACACAACTAAACTGCTCAGGGAAGAAACACACTTCTGGATTAGGAGAGAGGTCTGAGCAAAACAGATGCCCGATGGCCACTTATGTCTCTGTGCCTGTGGGCAAGTTACTTCATCTCTCCAGATCTTCCAACTGTTTCCTCAGCAAGAACCACCCTGCAGGGCATTCCGCAGTGCTATAAAGTACCATGCATCTGGGAGGAACTGATCATAAGAGAGTGATTATTCATACTGCCTGTGGTTCTTTAAGTGTTGCTCTTGGGCTTTGGGTTCTGGCTGCCAAATCTTTGTCTGGGTAATTTCAGTGATTATTTAGTTACATTAAGTCAAGATCTATTTTTCTGTTCTATGGCTATGGTCTGGAAATTAAAGCCTTCCTCCTGTTCTTGGCATCATGGTAATTTTCATCCAGATTGGTGAATAGTTAAGATGTATAAAGAAAAATGGGAGAATGGTCAATAAGAACATTTCAGCATTCATTTAATGACATGAAATCCAGCTTTTGACCAGATCCTTGCAGTTCACTGAGATGTCAGAGGTTCTGCATGATGTCGCATGATCATTCACATGGAAGAGGTAGGAACCTGGACGCGGAGTGCCTGGGTGCTGGTGTCAGGTCTCCCAGGTTCAAATGTTGTCACCATGAGTTATTTGCTGGATCACTCGAAGCAAGTTACACAATCTCTTTCATGTTTACTCTTTTGTAAATTGGTCATCATAATAATGTTTTTATAGTCTGGAAGAAGCTCACAGACTGATTAAGAATTAAATGAAAAAAATACATTGCATAGTGCTTAGCATATAGTTATTCTTTGATAAATATGAGCAGCTGTGGGAAGAGTGTAAACAAAAACTGGGGATAAAAGCTTAAAAGTGGCTCCAAGATTGTCTACAAGTCTGTTATACAAAATGTAGAGTGTTATAGAGAAATAAGGATAAAAATTGTAGCATGAAAGAGTTAGATCATCATTAAGAAGAATGTAACTCTCTGGGTGATTAAGCACTTAAAATTTTATCTGGCTTCTGATTTCTCATACTTTCTCCTTCTAGTTCTTAGCTTTTTTTGAGCTGCATATTAATAGAATAGCAACCAAAACAAAGCTTTTAAAAATATAGTTAGAGACATTTGCTCCAAATACAACTCAGAGCAAATAAAATTGTCGTCAATATTATGGTAATCATAGAATTTAAAAATGTTCCTGCAGCTTAAACAAGATTCTAATGATTTTATGGGGCAGGGCTGGAATCAGGAATTTGGCGTTAGCAGATGATAGTAAAGACAAAGAGTGCCTCTTTTGTGCTTAAATACAGAGATATGATCCAGGAAAAGAATCCAGCTGGGCAGAGGATGTCAAACTGGTAAAGAAGATGGAAAAACTGATTATGTACTTACTAGTTGGCAGAGAGTATACAAAGATCTTTACATTTGTTGGTTCCTTATTCTTCACGACAGTATATCCTGCAGCTAATGTCGTCCCCAGGAAATAAAACTCTTAGAGAGAGTAAATTCCTTGAGGTAGAGAGTTGGAGTGGAAGGTGTCTCTGACACTACAGGCTGTTCATGACAACACATGGCTACATACAGTGCATGCATGAGCACAGACTGAAATATTGCAAGTGTTGATCTTTTTTTAATTATTATTTTTTTTTATTTTATAGGGGCCATGCCTGGTAGTGCTCAGGGCTTAGTCCTGGCTCTGTGCTCAGGGATAACTCCTGGTGGCACTCAGGGGACCATGGGGGTGTTGGGGATTCAACTTGGGTTGATTGCATGCAAGCACCTTAATGCCACTACTATCTCTCTGGCCTCTGCAAATACTGTCTGGATGAGAAATAAAGTTGTTCTGTGAGGGACTCTGAGAGGCAATCTTTGGAGGTATTGGGATTCTGATTAAAAAAATACCTGGTATTTATTCATAAGACTCTCTGTGGGCAAAAGTTTCCATAATTAATTGGTTTGAAAGATACTGAGTGCTCATGGAATTGAAGGAGCTGAGGAGAAAGGACATTAATAAGGCCAAGATACTCAGTGGGGAATGAAGAGGTTAGGGAATAGACTAGAGACTGGGAACATTTCCCGTCAGTTATATGGATATTCTTCAAGTAATGATAAGTTTATGTTCCAATAAATCTATTGCAAGTTGAAATTTCTTAAGTCAAAATGTATTTAATAAACTTAAACCAGGCATCATAGTTTAGCCTCGCCTATCTTAAACATTATCAGAAAGAACACTTAGACTAGCCTACTGTAGTAAAATAAGGTAACACTAAACCAATTCAATGATAAAGTATTGGACATTTTATATAATTGGTTGCTTTATTGAAAGTGAAAAATGGATACCTTAATTCAAAATTCAAAGGATAGTTTCTGTTAAATGTTTTTTTTTCTGTACCATTGTAAATTTGAAAAATCTTTAAAATTTTCTTTTTCCAGGGAAGAGTGTAAACGCCTTACCTGTCCTCCCATCACAAATTCTGCAGTCGAGTTCCCCACATTTGGGGAAATCACAGAGGTCAGCATATCTAGAATGCAATGGATAAGCCTTGCCCTGGGAAATCACCTTCATGATCTCTCCCCTGCCAGGTAAGTATATAAATTGAAAAATCTTAAGCTGAACCATCTTAATGTCAGGAATGGTCTGCATTGTCAATTCCATGTTTTTTTGTTCTCAATTTTTTCTTGATGAAAAACTCTTGCAATGAGCATTTCAACACTCCCATGTTGCCTTAGGTCACCTTTTTAAATTCCTTTCCAGTCAGTCAGTCTCCTGAGTTAGTTACTGGCTAATTTAAATAAGAACTATGTTTCTCTTGATGGAATAGGAGGTGAAACAGTGAGAATTGTGAGATGGGTTGGCTGGGAGACATGATGGGGATGGGGTTTGGTGAGTCAGAGGAATGCGGGCCCATAGGGATTTGGTAGCATAGGAATATGGGTATCAAGAAATGAGGGGCTTCTGATAGTTGAATCGATTGAATTTTGGGGAAGAGTCTATTCAGATGCTTTATAAGGAATATTTTCTGGAAAAGAGAAAGGTGCTAGGGATGCATTCTTTTGGCAGTTAATTATAGTTAATTCTGAGTTCTGGCCTCTTCCCTGCTTCCTGCTCTTTGGGAGAATTACAGCATAACTATCTGATTAACTAGGCTCTGGGCCTATGAAAGGAAGCTTTACTTAGATAACAGCTTGGTTATTGATTTTTATTTATTTATTTATTTTTGATGTTCCTATCAATACTACACCTGGCTCAGGTGCTACTCTCAGCTTTGTGCTCAGGGGTTATTCTTGGCTGTGCTTCAGAGATAATGCAGAGCTGGAGATCAAACTTCGATCTAATGCATGCAAAGCATACACTCAGCTCCTTGAGTTGTTCCTCTGGCCCACAATAGTACCTTTAATAAATCCATTCTCCTTAGTGCTAAATGAGAGTAAACCAGGTGCAATAAGTGGGAGGGAGTTCCCCAGTCTATGGTAGGGTGGCGCTTGGAGAATAGATAACAAATCTTGTGTTTGAGCAATAAGTAGAGCACCTGTGTTGCCATCTTCTGTCTCTGCAGTTGTGCTCAGCTCACCTAGACTAGATCACGAGGGAGTGTTTCCACTGCAGTTGTTTGGGGGAGGGATGCTTCTAAGTAATGATGCACCCTGGGTCCCTTCTTTGGTGTGTGGCCTTGAAAACAGGTGGCTGACACATTCCCTCTGAGTGAGTGAGAGAGAGGAAATGAGTGTTCCTGAGACTGCCATGAGTTTGGAGTCTTTTTTTTTTTTCCCCCTTTATTTTATTTTATTTTTTTTAAAGTTGTAGATTTACAATTTTTTGTGCTTTGGTTTCAATTATACAATGATCAGATACCCATCCCTCCACCAGTGCCCATTTTCCACCACCATGGATAATATCCCTCCCACCCCCATCCCCCCATCCCCCCTGTCTCTGTGGCAGGGCAATCCCCTGTGTTCTCTCTCTAGTTTGGAGTCTTTTATTAGTGGTCAGAATGCTGGATCAATGCTTATCATTGATTCTGTTAGCAAGAAACTCCTTCTTTAACATCTTAGCCAGTAGTTCTCCATCTTGAGTCTTTTTTATTTATTTATTTGTTTTTATATCTCACATTTTAAGTTTTATTTTTTTTGTGATCAGGCACATCTGCATTCCCATTTTATTTATTTTTCTTTCTTTTCTTCTTTTTTTAATTAGTGAAACACCATGAAGTACAGTTATAGACTTACAAATTTTTATGCTTGGGTTTCAGTTATACAATGATCTTGAGTCTTTTTTTAATGTGAAAATTTATTTATTTTAAATTAATTTTTCTTAAGGCACTGCAATACAAAGTTATTCATGATTTAATTTCAGGCATATGATGTTCTAGTACCTGTCCCACTACCAGTGCAACTTCCTTCTATCCATGTTTCTAGGGCAAGACCCACCCCTGCATGCCTCCCTGACAGGCACATTTGTAAGTTTTGTTTTAATTTAGATCTCGTTCCAGTGTTGCTGGCTCTGAGGTTTACATGTGTAGATATACCACAAATCTACACTATCCCTGACCCCCACCTTAACCTGTTACCTTCTGATCCAAACTTTAGTCTTTATCAAAATCACCTGAAAGGGATAAGGGATATAGCTTAGTGGTACTGCACTTACCTTGCATGTGTGAGACTCACCCAGCAAAGATAAATAAATAAATAAATAAACCCAGAAACAATAATTACCAAGGTTTGTTAAAACACAAATTTCCTGGCCTCACCCTCAGACTTTCTGATTTACTGCATTTGAATTTTTCATTTTTAGTAAGTTCTCAGATACTGTTGATGTTGCTTATTCAACAGCCACTTTCTGAAGTGAGGATCACTGAGATTCTATTTTCTCAAGTTTTCATGGGGTGCTCTGGGTGAAGAAAACAATGAAAATTTAGTGCAACTCAGACAATAAATCCTGTAAGGGGTACCAAAGTAAACCTAATAAAGGAGGATGAGGGAAATGGGGAACAGGATAATATGTCAGGTCTTTAATTTTGTCTAGGGTAGAATATAGTTGTTATTTTGTCTTATTTAAACTCTCAGAAAGAGAGAGACAGGGGAGGTGGGAGAGGGAGACAGGGAGAGAGAGAGCAAGAAAGAGAGTGAGTGAGAGAGTGGTGTAAAGGGAGAGAGAGAGAGAGAATATAGTTGGAGAATATAGTTGTTATTTTGTCTTATTTAAACTCTCAGAAAGAGAGAGACGGGGAGGTGGGAGAGGGAGAGAGGGAGAGAGAGAGCAAGAGAGAGAGTGAGTGAGAGAGTGGTGTAAAGGGAGAGAGAGAGAGAGAGAGAGAGAGAGAGAGAGAGAGAGAGAGAGAGAGAGAAGAGAGAAAAGTGTCTGCCATAGAGGCAGGCAGGGGGTGAGGGTGGGAGGTGATGGGAGGGAACCTGGGGACTGTACTGTTCTGGGAAATGTACACTGGTGGAAGGATGGGTGTTGGAATACTGTGTGACTGAAATCCAATCATGAGCACCTTTCTAAAGGTCTAACAGTGATTCAATAAAAAAGTTTTGAAAAAATAAACCGTCCTCTCTATGATAGGTAATTTCTTTGTTCATATATAATGTGAGAGATTCCCACTGGTTTCTGGGAGAAATTTTGCACTAAGAAAATATGATGGCAATGAAAGCTATGTCTTTCACACCACCAACTGCACTGAGACATATATGCATAGAAAAGAGAGATATTTATACACAGTCTATAAGAATTTAGACACTGTGTTCATTATTTCTCATATATCACTTTATGTGATTTAGAAAATTTGCAAAGTCCTGTATTATTTTCATTTTATAATCAAAGAATCTGAGGTCTAGCAGCATTAAGAAACATACCCAAATTACAAAACTAATTGCCAGAAAAGGTCATAAAAATACATATCATATTTATCCCAATCAATGTTCTTTTGACTTTGCTATTTAGAGATTTTTGTAAAAAATGTGCTTAAGTCAAATATTGTTTCTTAATTTAATATTATTTTTTTTTCACTTTTGCTTTGGTAGTGGGGTCATTTCTAGCAGTGCTTAAGACTTACTCCTGGCTCTGTACTCTGGTATCACTCCTGGAGGAGCTCAGGGAACCACATGGGGTGTCAGGGATTGAACTTGGGTTGGCTACATGCAAGGCAACACCCTAGCCAACGTAATATCACTCAGTTCCTGTTTCTTAAATTTTAAAACAAAGTTTTATTTCAGAACCAAGAAGGTGTAGTCAAGAATGAGTGGGAATTATAAAGGGATAAAAAGCATCAGGCATGCCCCATCAAGACATCTAGATAGTCTGGCATTGCTCCAGTTGGTTATTTGAACAATTCTCCCTTCCTCTGCCATTCCGGTAGTTTTCTTCCGCATTTTCTCAGTGGATAAGATGAGAACGAGAATGATGGTAAGGAAACAGGGATAGAGACAGAGGCACAGACAGAGCTGGCAGTTTTCTCATAGTCAAGGCCCTGCCCGCTACATGTTCTAATCATCCTGCAATCGACCTTAGACCTGGACCACGATCCCTGCAGTCCTCCTCAGGGCCCTGCAGCACTGTCCACCCCTTTCCTTTCTGTTTCTCTGCTAATGCCCAAGGAATTGCAGTTTTCCTCCTTTCCCAGCAAATGCTCTGGGTCCCTATTCATTACCCACTTCCAAAGGGCGCCTCTGTGTCGTCACCTCTGGCCAGCCTCTGCTCAAACTCCAGGCCTGGCTGTCCTGCCTCGCCAGCTACAGGACACTGGTCTCCTTTGTCCCCGGCAGTCCCTGTGCTTGCCGGGGTCAAGGGCCCTGTCCTCCTTGCCTCCTGCCATCCCGTCGGCTTCCTGTTTCTCTCCCGCCTCCTCAGCAGCCCTCCTCAGAGCTGGCTGGGTTTAGACACCTTTCCTTCCCCCTCATTCTCCTCTCTCTCTTCCATGACTAAAGTCTGTTCTAGAAACAGGTTTGGTTTGGGTTGCTCTAGCGAGTGACTTAGGATGTCTCACACCAGCGAGATGTCTGCCAGTCTTGAGTTTTGTGAGCCGGCGTTTTGTTTGTGTGAACTTGCTAGTGCTTTTTGATTTCCCTCCCATGTTTATTCCCATGAAAACAGTGACTGAGCTCACACTTTGGAGGAAAGGATGGAACTTTACCCACCTGAGGTTGGAGGAAGCCTCGGGGATGGCCAGAGATGGCCTGGGACCGGCCTTGGCTGTACCCTTCGCAAAGTTCCCAGCCCCTGGGCTGCAAGGCGCTTCTTTCTGGGTGACTGCCCTCCCAGCGGCAGACTCCCTTTTTGGTTGGCTCAGTTCTGCGGATGAACTTCCCGGGAGCATGGGGAAATGAGCGGCTGTTCACAGGCGGGACCTCTGTGGATGGTGCCAAGAATTCGGGGCCACACGGCCCCAGCATGCCGAGGCAGTCTGCAAAAGGCCGTCTTACAAAAGAGTTAAGTCAGGCCACTGGGCCAGGCTGCTCAGGCCGCCCGTTCTCTGTGCTGACAGGAACAGGACGTTCTCCAAGGCTACACCCTTGAGCCACAATTCATCAATCACAGCCCAGAACATCGAGCTGGGGGTTCTGACTGGTCCTTGCAAACTCTCTCTCTCTCACC